ACTTCTTCAATTTTACAGTCCACGAAATAAAATGCAAACTCCTTAATATGGTTCCTAACCGTCTCATGATTTGTTCTTGCTTACCTTTCTATTTTATTTCTAGTTATAACACTCTTTGCATCAAGCATTTCCAGACATCCACACACATATTTCCTTTGCCTGGTAGGCTGTCTACCCTCACTTCAGAATTTATCTGTCTAGGTCCACCTCAAACTTTAAATGCCATTTCCTTTTGGAGGCTTTTCCTGATTTCCTAGACTAGGTTTGGTCTCTGTGCTATGTGCTTCCCTAACATAACACTCATTGTTCTTTGTTAATTTATCTGTATGCTCAGAAAGGAGGGCTCTGTCTATTCACTGCTGTGGCCCCGATACCCAGCAAAGTAATTGTGCAGGCATTAAAAAAAATTATCAACTAAGTTAGAAGAAAGGCCATAAATATAAAATAAAAATAAAAAATAAAAATAAAGCATGATGATAGAGATGTGGTCTTTTATCTGGAATGGTCTAGACAGATATTTCCTACAGATTTTCTTTAAAGTTACAAGTGCAACATTTCATGGTTTTCAAAGGTAAGAACGAAATACTTTTAAGTAATATTGGAAGTTGTTACAATAGAAGACATATTGTCATTTCCAAGCCAAAAAGGTGGATAGGAAATTTTATTACCCCTGGAGATATCAATGTCCTCTGTCAAAGCAACAGTATTGAAAAAGGTGCACTAAAGGCAGGATGGATAAAAAGGAATTTATCAAGAAGTCTTTGAGTATAGCACACACATAGACACAAGGAACGTATTTATATAGATAGTATAAAATATTCAAAATCATTATCACTAAACCAATTTATCTACTGTAAGAAAGAGGAGAAACTATAAATATCCTGAGAAAGATGATTTCAATACATGGCCAGTGGTTTAATTTTTTTTTTTTTAAAGGAAAAAAAGTCAGAGCAGCTGGCCTTACAATAATGAGAAAAAGGTATTGATAACTAGTCTGTAAAAAAAAAAAAAAAAAAAAAAAAAAAAAAAGTGCCTGAAATGTTCATTCAAGGCTGGTATTCATTCTTTATTCAGAGCCTGGCTGTCAGGCTTGAAAAGCAACAGAGATTACTGATGCATTCTACAGCCAAGTCATGGAGAACATAAATAAATTTGTTCTTCGTACAGCAATGAATCGAGGAAAAGGCTTATTCTTTGGATTACAAGGGTCTCCTATGCATTGTTTGGCTTCAGTAAGATTTATTAATCACAGTTAAAAGACACAACTTAGAAATATATTTTGATATTTCATTTTCATTAGTTCAATGAGGCAAAGTCATCATCAAATTCTGATACTACATGATTAATTATCTTGCGTTGGTTTATTTACAGTTTTATTGAGTAGACAATACAGAGATCATAAACTCCAAAAGGAATTTATTAAACTATTTAGGAGCTTTAAATAATTTATTTTGTACTTGCTCCAGTTTAGGGAGGTTGTTTTTTAAAAAGCTGAGGTCAAGGTAAATATAATGGAGTGAAAATAAAACAACAAACAGCAGTTGTATGTTTACTAAGGGCAAAGTTAAAGACATTGTGAAAGTAATTCATGAGATTCTTATTAAATAAAAATACTTGATTTGCTCTCTGCCTTAAGAAAAGACTTCAGAGATAATAATAACTTTTACCTTCTGGCCAAAAGAGTCAATTCTAGCTTTCTATTTTTTAAATTACACACACACACACACACACACACACACACACACACACACACACGTGTACACAGAGAGTTTTGATAAAGTTAGGACTAGTTTCAGCTCAACTGTGTTACTGAGAAGAGGAACAATGTCTAGGAAGATATGATTTTAAGAGCCCTAGTGGACAGAAGAAAAAAAGAGGGTAGTTCTGAACCTGTTTATAAGAGGAGATAATTATGAGTTTAATTATGAGATAATTATGAATTTAAGACAAGGCCCCTGCAGTCTTGTGAGTAATCTATTTGGCACGTTCAAATAGGTAATAACTGTAATGCAAAATGGCATTTAAGTATACTTGAAGGAAGCTTATAATAAAAGAATTAGAGAAATTGAAAAGGAATATATATGAACTCTAGTTGTGGTGATCTAAGAAGACTTCATAAAAATATGGATAGAAGACGGGTTGATGAAGAAAGGGTAGGGCTTTCTGGAAATGAAGGGAGGTGTTTCATAATTTACAGAACACAATCCAAATGAACATATTCCTTAACTGTCTTTTAATAAATATTTACAACATGAAAATGCTTCAGAAGTCATCTCATCTGCCCAAATAGATCAAGTTATGAAAAGTGGTAGTTATAGCTTAAAATTACTTATAAATACGCAGCTTGCAAATATTCCTTAGAAAAAGTTATAGACACACTCTCCTCCTCTCTATAATGACTGAATGCCATCCCCAACTGCACGGCTGCTAGTATTTCCCTCCTCTTCTGTCCGCCCATTATTGTGAAGGGGAAAGATCAGCGTCACACACACAAAAGGCAGAGACAGCTTTTGAAAAATACACACAAAATACAACACATAAATATATTCTGTATGTGTTTGATATATATAGACTAAATGTCAAACAACTTAAGGACTAAAAAGTGTTTGTTGAATTTAGTAATATGAAGGTAAACAGGTGACAATTTTGACCCAAACAAGTGAAGCCAATTATTTCCCCACGATATACAATTCATTTTTCTACCTCTATACTTCATGACCTAATGGAATAGTAATACAACGCAATAAGAAGACAGTAATTATCCAGTACTTTCCAGAACTTTAATTCTTCTTAGGGTATTAAAATTGGCCACTGAAATGATTTGTTCCAAATCTCTCTCACCAAGTTAAGCTGAATATCTAGACCAAAAGGTTATTTTGATTTCAAAATAGACACAACATATATGGCCTCTTCAGTCTGTGGGCACTTTCTTATCTTTCAGGAATGTTCTGAAAAACAACAAAATAATCTGTCATAAACTATTTAGGATATGTACTGCCAGGCTATAAAATGGATCCACTTCTATGATTAAGAGATCTTCAACCATTTCCTTTTTTATCACCCTTAACTACTCCAATGCCAGTACCATTACACTTTGGTTACTGGCCACAACTGAGCTTTATAAAAACTACATACAGCTACTGCCTTTTGGCCATAACACACTTCAGAAGATAAACTTTAAACTGTGCCGTATTTTCTTGACTTAAATTCAACACTGCATATTTTTGTAAAGTTAGAAAGAAATCTCAAATAGCCATCTAATTTTTTGCTCTAGGCAAAGCTACCCAAAAGAGCACATCTTTTGTTAATTAGAGCAATTAGGAAAAAAATTTTTATGTTCAAACTACTGCCACAACAGAACTTAGTTCCTCATTCCTATTCCACAAAGGGTACAGGTTGTTAGTTATCTACCTAAATAACCCTCAAATTATCAAGTTATCAATGACCTCATCTATCAGCTATCAATTGGTGCTGCAATAATGCTACGTGAAATAATCCATCTCAAAACTCAGGTTTTGTAAGATAATAAGCATTATTACTATTATTTTTTTGCTCATAAATTTATACGTCAATTGAACAATTCTTCTGAGCTGGGCTAATCTTGGTTAGCCTTGCTCATCCGTTTACAGTCGGCCAACAGGTGAGCTTTGCTTGGCTAGTCTCAGATGGTCACACCCGGCAAAGCTCTCTGTGCGAAGTTTCTGATCTTTCAGCAGGCTACTCTGAGATTAATCTGAGACAAAGCTATTGGCTCAAACAAGTCTCAACAACTCTCAGATTCATGGGGCGGGTGGAAAAAGAACCCATCTCTTGATGGGAGGAGCTAGAAATTGCACTGTGAAAGGGGTAGAAACAAGGATGAAGACCACAGTCATTTATGTATGGTACAGCTACAAAAACTTCACATTAAACAATCTAGTACAAATGCTGCTTTGCCTCCATCCTTGAATCTGGATTGTGTAAACACTAACAAGTCACTTTATCACTGCAAAATATTTCAAAAATGCCGTTAAACTGAAGGCAAGGTGTACTGAAATTAGACAGCAAATTGAGATTTTAATTTAAGAGCGTAAGGAGTTGTAAAAAAAAATGTTGATTTTGTGACCTTAGAAAAAAAAATGATGTAATAGCTATCTCCACACAAGACAACATGAATCTGTATAATTAAGAGGAAATTATATGCTTAAGTGGTTTTTAAGTTTTTTACTTACTATCTATGTATTTAAAACCTACTATATATATATTTGATAAATTATCAGAAATAGTTTTATTCAAAGAACAACACCCATGAACCTTTAAAATGAACCATTTATTAAATCAGACTGTTATTCTTAACAGTTAATGTAAGTTACATGTATGTTTATGTCTGAGTATTTCACATGGAAATTTTTTAAACTCTTATAGGCAAGCAAAATCGTACCACACAATATATAAGTGGGAAGGGGGTACTGCTAAACATTCAAATAAGGCAAGTATTTAAAAACGGTAAAACAATAACTAAAAAAAAAAAATTCAAGCATTCCTTTAAGAGAATTCAATACTACTAGCTAAATGTACTTTCTGAGTGTATTCATATAATCAAGGCAGTGTTTCCTCTTGTAAAACATCAGAAAATGGAATAAGGCTCATTAATAGATACAGCTGCCTTCAAGATTTCAATCTCAGTTGCTTTCTTTAAATTAAAATTCACAAAGTGCACAATTAAGATATCAAAAAACTGAATCTGCTACTCTAACAACAGCTGTCCATGCTTAATACTTAGTGGTTTATTTGACCAAATTATCTTTTCAGGGAAAAATAAAAAAAGATAAGCCACTGTAAAACATTTAGTTTGAAGTGTATGCTAATATTTTTCTTAGAAATCGAAAATTATGGAGGAAAAGTGTTATTTATCATAAGGAAAAGAAAGCAAAACACTGGAATGACCAAACATTTTCAAAGAACAAGCACCACAAAGGACATTCGCATTCAGTTTTGTAATATTTATCAATGTATTTTTCTTACTCCAACCAATCTACTTCATCAAATTCTGAATCATCTTCTGAATCACTATATTCCACAGCAATGCGGCGAGACAGGATGGTGGCAACATCATTTTCAATGCGTTCGTGTTTAGCTTCCTGTTCACGCTGCTCTTCTACTTTGCGTAGCTGAATACCTGATAGAGAAAAACCAAAGCATTCACTGTAAGCCAAGATACTAAATATATCATATTATTAATCTTTTTGGAATAAAATCAAATACATGTGAGAAATACTAAGAGGAAAATAAAAACCAAGATCTATTAAAAAGAATTTGAAGGGATCATATTTAGAATCACATTAATTTGGTCAATTAATTCTTTCCTTATCTGCAATACTAGTTGGTCAAACTTACTAGCTATCCCGGTGAATATCTACAGTTTATTTAGGTATGATGGTCTACTGTGCCTTTCTACTCACCAACCCCCCCCCCCAACGCCCCCCGAAAAGTTAACCAGTGGTCAAATAAACATTGTTGAGTATGTTTTCTGTGGCTTTACTCTCCCCAATACTTGAGGGAAAGGCACTATTTTTCATTCTATATTGTCAGTGTTTGGCTTATAGTAGGTGCTTAGGAAATGTCGGCTGAATAAATGAATGAATATGAGAAGTCTTTCCTTGGTTACTAAGGGAGGAACTTTAATCCTGTAAAGGCATCTGGTAGAGCAAGTGTCACTGATACAACAAATGGACAGCCTTACTACAGAAGAAAATACCATTTTTAAAGGAGTGACCATACATATTAAACATAACGTAAAGGGTTTTAACTAAATTTTCTATAACTTATAAGTCTGATATTCTCAATCATTCAGTAAACATTTTAAGAATCCCCAAGTAGGAAAATAAAATAATTAAATGTAGTATTTTCTCTGGCAAATGATTTAAAATAAAAGTTAAGGGCACCTGGATGGCTCAGTCAGTTGAGCATCTGACTCTTGATTTTGGCTCAGATCATGATCTCACAGTTTGTGAGATAGAGCCCCATGTTGGGCTCTGCACTGACAGCATGGAGCCTGCTGGTCTCCCCCTACTCGCGTGTGCTCTCCCTCAAAATAAATGAAACTTAAAAAAAATGTAAGTTGAACATAGCTTTCCTTTCTAAAAACCACTTGTGCAAAAATATGATCATCTACAATTTTATTAATGAGAAAATGTTATTGTGCCAAATATTTAGAAAGTTCCTAATGCTACCATAGCAATGCTTTTAATGGCCTGGAGAAAGTTACCTTTTCGTATTGCTTCCAGAAGGACACTCCTGGCGTCACTGATTACAGGTAGAGTTGATGGATGACGCTTTGGCTCAGAAGCAGGTATAACTTGTGATGGAGGAGATGGAGGCATTAATGGAACATGGGGACCTGGGGCAGTAGATGGAGCTGGATGTAGCCCAGAGGGAGGATGAGTAAGAGCGGCAACTGTGACAGGTGACGATGGTCGAATGCCAGGTGGAGGCAGAGGAGGCGGAGGTGGGGGTGGAGGCAGCCCCTGGACTTCACCTTGTGGGAGTGGATGAACTGGTACAGTCTCACATACTGGGGCAGCTCTAGCTACCGGTGGGGAGGGCTGTACTAGAGGAGGTGCAATTGGAGGAGGAGCTGGGTGAAGAACTCCAGGGGCAATCTGAAGAGGAGCTGGAGGCGGTGGTACCGCTGGAGCTTGCAAAGCAGTGGCTGGAGGTGGAGGTGGGGGAGGTACTGGTGGGGGAGGAGTTGAAGTCATTGAAGCTCTTAATGAAGAAGTTGACAAGGCAGATGGAAGAGGTGGTGGAGGAGGTGGGGGGGTAGGGCTCACAAACACAGGTGTCCTGCCTGTAGCTGGTGACTGAGGGCGATTTTCTATCAAACCTGTAGCAGAACTGAAATGATAAAGAAACCCTAGCAAGTTACTCAAAGAGAAAAACCGAACCGCATGACACATATTATGACTATCAAAAATGATATCAAGGTAGATGTATTAACATGATCGTATAGAAATTAAAAATTCTTCAGTATTTAGGATGGAATGAATATGCCAAGAAAATTAATGGGTGTTGCTTTCATTTCTAAGATTCCAGATGGTCTCGTCCTTTCATGCACCTGTCAGAATACACTCAAGCATTTTATGCTTACTTTGATAAATAAAAGGCTCAATTCTATGCTGTGATAGGAGTCTTTATAATGACTCAACATTTATCACATTACAATATTTGCAGCAATACCTGTGGTCATTACAATGCTGTATTTATATTGAAGCTATTAAGACTCATTATGTCATTTCAGTAAAATCAATAACAACTAATTACAAACCACAAAAGGAAAATTAGGACTGTCAACCCTTCCTGAGGATGGAACATTGAGTGATTCAGTGATAGAAGGTTGATCTTTTTAACTGAAAATTATAAAGCTGATCTCTATTTACCTATTAAAAATTTTATAATAAACTTCAAAACTGCTTTACTGAAAATTATGAGCAATTGCTTATTCTCTCTCAAATTCTCAAAGTATTCCCCCTAATACCAAGTTAACACTCATAATCATATCTTTAGTTCCCATTTCTTAGTCCCTTACCACATTCTAAAAATTCTTAATTTTTATTAATATACTACACATCATGTGCTTGATAATAAAGGTATAATAAAATGAAAGACACTCTAATCTTTAAAGTGAATTCTCATTAGCTACATTTTTCCCAAGAGTACGGGTCAGCTCTTATCAGAGGCTGGCAAATTACATCCCACAGGTCAAATCCGAATTGCTCCCTGTTTTTGTAAATAAGGTTTAGCTGGAACACAAATAGTCATTTATGTATAGTCCATGGCTGTTTTCATGCAACAGTGGCAGAGTTGAGTAGTTGTGACAGAAACTGTAATGCCCACAAAGCCTAAAACACTTGCTAGCTGATCCTTTCAAGAAAAAGGTTACCAACCCCTGAGAAGCAACATCAAATGCCTGTCCCAACATACCTGATACAGGTGGGTATGGGTTTCGCATCTCCCGCTCCATGCATTGGTGGGGGTGGAGGAGGTTCATGTGGTCTGACTAAGACCCTTTCCTCAGCTCTAGTCAGAAGTTCACTCATCTGACTAAATGGCAAGGCAGAAAGTGAGTAAGAGCCATCCATATGATCCACATATGTCTGAGGTCTAAAAAAAAAAAAAAAAAAAAAAAAAAAAAAAAAAAAAAAAAAAAAAAATACAGTATCAGTGTATTTTTCTTGAATTATTAATGGTATAAAGTGTGGTACAGGAGACATTTAAGCTTTATCTTTTGAATGCCAACGTTTTAATCACTATTATGAAACTTCAGAAATTTGTTACATTTATCTTGCTTTTCAAACAAAGAATGCTGCTCATAATGTAACCTTTCCTTGCAGTTATTTTATTATTTCATAATATAATACTAATTCAATTCACAAGGATAGAAAGTATTACATATAGAATCTCATAAACAAAATTAACTTTTCAGTAAATTGTGTTCAAAGCTATATACCCCTCTGTTTCATTTTTTTAAACAAGATGCCAATGACAAAAAGCTAGAATATGAAAACTGGAGTCTTAAACCTAAATGACTTCCAAGTATCTTGTATCAGCGAGAAAGGCCTCCATGATACTAGCACCACAAGGATGACTAACTACATTGTTTTGTCTTTTTGATGTTTTCAAAGGTGTTAGGGTACTCAGAAAATAACTGAGTAACAAAGCAACAAATGACATAAGATCAGATTTAAGCAAAATTTTAGATACCTTGAGCATGTGAAGGTTTTATAAATATTTGCTGATTGTAGCGCATGCTGGGGACACATGTACACAAAACAAATTAGAAACTACAGCTGACTTTGAACACAGGTTTGAACTGAGCAGGCCCACTTATATAAGGATTTTTTACAGTAAAGCACTGTAAATGTATTTTCCGTATCATTTTCTTAACATTTTTTCTGTAGCTTTGTTGTAAGAATACAGTATACAATACACATAGCATACAAAATATGTGTTATGGATTATTTATGTTCTCAGTAAGGCTCCCCAGTCAACAGTAAGCTATTAGTAGCTAAATTTTGGATAGCCAAAAGTTACATGTGGATTTTCAACTGCACAAGGGATTGGTGCCCCTAACTCCCTTGTTGTTCAAGAATCAACTAAATTGTACTTATAGTACTGGATCAGGTAATGCTGGTAATACTGTAACTACTTAACAGCAGTAAAAATCAGTGTTTATCTATAGATTATTATTTAAAAAAATAAATCTCAATTCTTTCAACAATGCATATAAATATCTTACATGTGTATTACTCCTAAATTGGCTAAGATACTGGCCTAATAGTTTACATGTATTATTCCAAAGAAAACTTTAAGCGCTTTTTCCATTAAAAAATCAATAATTATAACATATACAATAATAACTATAATCAGTCAACTATACACAAATTTCTTCACAGAGAGATGCTAGTATAATGTTTATTAGGGTAGCATGTTACTCAGATGGGGCCCCCTGGCTACTGAGCAAGGAAAAAGACCTGTTCTATAGCTCTGCAAAAGGGGATGAGTGATTTTGTTTAAAAAGTCCTGATATAACTGAGGTGGGAGATGTGGCATAGAAAGGAAGTCAGGAGAAAGAAAAAGAAACAAAATATTACCCTTTCTCAGTTCCTATTTTATATGTAGTGAATCTGTAATATTTCAAAAAGAAATTCCAGACCCCATTGCTCTACTATGAAGTTCTAGCAGACTCTGCCTGAAATACTGACAGAGAGCTGAGAATTCATATGAAACCCTGAAGATCATATCATCTCCTCCAACCACCTCTTTCTATAGATGACAAAACTAAAATCCAGGTGTGAAAATGACCTGCCCATGATCAGACTTTAGTAGGCTCACAGTGGTCAGGGTTTCAAAATGATTTCTATAGCTAAAGTAGCTGGTTCAACAGTTCAGGACTTTAAGACTTAAGAGGCACAGATATTAGAAATAAAGCCAGTATTTTATCATTAATTTTGTTAAAAAACAAAAAAAGAAAAGAAACCTTGTTTCAAAATGAGAGGCTGGGCCATTAGCAACTTCAATATGCTTATGTAAGAGATTAGCATCATCTTCAGCCAGCTCTGGACCTTGGGCCAGCTTCTGCCATTCTCTCCGCCTGTCATGAGGTGCTCTTGGCACTTTTTCTGGTTCATGAGGACGATCTAGATTTTTCTGCTATAACAGATGTATTGAAACAAAGCCAAATGCTGAAGTGCTAAGTTTTTAAAAAGAAGTTATAACAATCAAAATAAAATTCTAACATTAATACTGAAAAAGACAATGCCATCATAATATAGTTAAAGTAACACAGAGACAGTTCATTTGTATGTTCAGAGTTAAATCTTAGTTAGTTTGCTTGTAATCCCAGTTTCTTGTCATGTTTCTTTAACTTCTAATTTGAATTCATGCACCAGATAAAAATAGTATGCCTAAATAATAAAATTTGAGGTCAGAAAGTCCTTCCAGATGAAAAACAGATTCACCAACTCTGCTCCCACATCTATTAGTTTTTACTATAATGAGTGAAATTTCTACCATTAATGGCACTGCCTACCTTTAACCAAAACCTGGAAATTTATTAAGGCTATGTAATCTGGAAAGTGACCAATTAGCCAGCCAATACATTAGAAAAAATCCAAACATCCAATTAACTCATTATAACTGTATCACTCAACAGGAAACAGGATTTTCAAAAAACAAAACAGAAAATAAATCAAACTGTGGGAAAAAGCAGAGAGGGGTCTAGAGTAGGTGTAATGAAGTCAAATGCCCAAAGGGGCTAAGCAGATCACATACGTGAATCAAGAAAGTTGGGCATAAGATGGGGACTACAGTGACTAAACAAGCATGTCCAACTAAGGCTTTCCAGTTCAAAAATTTTAAAACCACTGTGTTTGTCCAACAAAACAGTGACTGCAGGCATACTCTGAGCTGCCAGTCACCAGTTTGCAAACTTCGGCTAGAACACTGGGATACTGTCTAGTACAGAAAATAATAACATGAAGGCATTATGGGGAAAAGGGAGGAGAGAAGAGATAGCTACAGAAGAAACAGAGGGATGATGAGAACAGATTTTGCATCTTTCATAATTCTGCCTAAATCCAATTTTCCTTCCCTCTTTACTTCTAGTTCTCATCAACATGGAATAAAACAGATCCAAATGTTTATTACAAAGTAGAATATGATAACACAGCAGACAGATAACAGGAATTTAGGGAGACTAAAATAATCTTTCCAAAACATTTAGGATATGATCTGTGTTAAGAAAATATTAGCTTAATCTACTTTGCCAATATCTGCAAAATATTCCTTCATCCCTTCTTGCCAGAATGCCCTTCTCTTCTCTGGTCCACTTAATTCCTAATTGTTCTTTGAAATTTATTATAAGCTTTGCTGAAAGCATTTACCAACCCTGTTCTCTGGCTAAAGCAGGTAGTTCTGTGCTACCTAAACCTTCCATGCATACCTCTGTTATGGCACTTATCATGCCATAATATAAGAATCTGATTGCTCATCTGTTCCCCAATTAGTCTGTGATCCTCCTGTGTGGTTATGAAGACTTCAGTATAAAACCGACAAAATACAAGATTAATAAAGTTCCAGTATGCAACAAAACACAAATACATGAAAACTAACTTCAATTTTTTCAATCTCTTGTAATACCTTCTGTTTCCTCTTTTCCTTCCTCTTATCCTCTGTATCTTGCAACATTTTTTCTTTCCATAGATCAAAGAAATATGAAGGATTGGTATAAAATTTCAAACCTTCTTTACCATCATCTCTGAAATAAAAAATATCAATTAGAACATTTATCAGTAAGACTTAGAGAGGCAATCAGAATAATTTTACTAAAATGTTTTTCCTATCAGTGAAATACAGAATGTGTAAAAATATTGACGAAATAAGAATACTGCATCAATATTCTCACAAATCAGACAAAAAACTAAGGAAAATGGAAACCCAGGAGTTTTTCAGAGATGGTGTTACTAATCTGAAGAACAGCTGGACAATTTTCATCTCTAACTAGTGCTGAATACCAACTTTTCTACAAGTCCTCTGGGGAATTCCAGTAATTACAAAAGGTTCTGCCAAAGATAAAAGCCTGAAAAGACAATAATACCATTTACAATGGAGATATACAAAGAGTTTCTGCCAATACTGTAGTTTACTTATTACCTTACGAACCTCCCCGCTCCCCACATTTCCTTTAATTGTCATGCTAGTAGTAACAGTTATTTTATCCAATGACTTGCACACTGATAAAACCGCTTCAAATAAGTATCTGAATACTATTTTATTCAGGATATGTGTGGTGTATCTTAAATTACCCATTTAACAAATCATGTGGAACTACCCCCAAAGAAAGCCTGAATAATTCCAGATTTTATTTTAAATGGTAAAAAACATTTTTAAAATAGATACTACATATTCATTATGTAAAAGCTTAATGCATATAGATCAAGAGTAGATATGAGCAAGCAAAAATGATATTAATTTTGTTAGTGTGGTGGAATTTTGGGCCCTTTTTATTTTTCATCTGACCAGATATTACATTAAAAAGACAATAACAACTCCTTGTGTCTCAAAACAACTCCCTTGAGTAAGTCTCATCTTTTGTATGCCAGAACCTTGGGAACGTATGTAGTGAATAAAGCACAAGTTTTCTAAGGGTGATGGATAAAGAGGGTTCTCTGTGTTGATCAAAAGCCCAGTGACATAAAGCATATTTGGGGATTTAGCATATAAAGGTAGACTGCTACCTATCTGAATATGCAGTATGAAAGTAAATAGCCAGCCTTCATATTTATTAGCCCACTGACCTATACGGAGTGAGTATATTGAGAGGTGGAGGCTGTTCACAAACATCATACGTCTCCTGTAATGGAATAGGCAAAGTCTTGCGGTCGAAAAGCTGCTGATCTTGAATCGTAGAACTTCGGAAAGCTTTTCTCATTGTTATATCTTGCAAAGACACTAAAACAAAAATCAAAAATGTATTTTATTTATTTTACTAAGTGGATTTAACATTAGGACAAATTCACATACTGTGTTTAAGAGTCAGCATGGTTCAGGAAGTTGTGACTGTAGTGGCTTGAGAATCAGGAACCACATTTTAAGTGCTCTATCATTATGTCCCAATATCATTTTGTCTCTGATCTTCCCAATCAGATACGTTTCAGTGCACCTTTGATTTCTAGGGCTCAAAAGGCTGTAATGATGCCTGAAGCATATCTGTATTTCCCACCGAAAATACCTGTCACTTTTCTCTACTTGCCATCACTACCCCCTACTAACCTACATCCTCTTCTTTCTTTTTTAAATAATCTTTTTCTCTCATTTCTCTTTATTACTTTTATTTAGCTTATACCAATAACACTGAAGGAATTACTTAGTCCTCAGTTGCATTCTTGGCTATATTGACCTCTATGCTAGCTAGACTATAAATATTATACATACGCTATAAACTTAAAACATACTTTACCATAAAGAAAATATTTTCAAGTACTGGGCAATCTATATCATCATCTATTTCACTTATCTTTTATCTCATACTATAAGAATCTCTACTTAGCTATGAGCTAAGACTAAGACTGTCTTGCACACTAGCATAAAATAACTTCATTTACTCATTTTCTTTTGACGCATGCAGCATGTTAAAATAAGAAATGTATAAAATCTTTTTCCATTTTTTTAAATGTTTATTTATTTTTGAGAGCGAGAGACAGAGTGTGAGTGGGGGAAGGGCAGAGAGAGAGAGAGAGACAGACAGACAGAATCTGAAGCAGGCTCCAGGCTCTGAGCTGTCAGCACAGAGCCTGATGCAGGGCTCTACCTCAAGAACCACAAAACCATGACCTGAGCTGAAGTTGGAAGCTCAACTGATTAAGCCACCCAGGCACCCCAGAAATGTACCAAATTAGTACATTCTTAACTCTTAGGATGACTTTCTGATATTGAAAAAGTAGGTGATTCTTACATATTTAATTAATATGGCTTTTAAGTATACAGATAAATGCTTTATGCCATAGAAGTTCTTAAACTTTTCTTTAAACAATTCGTAAACTATTCTTCTCCCTAAAACAGTATCTCTACCATCCTCACAAGTATTCACTCAGCATGAATATTCAGATCTATGGAATAGCTGGAGCAGCATGGCTCTACAATGGCCACATCATGACTACATTCCCAGCAATTTCTCTGCTGTATGATTTGTAACACACTTAAAACATCAAAATAAAATTCAGAGAAGGAAAAAAATTTTTTCTCATCATTACTAACGAGTGATGTAAAAGATATTTAATGAATACAGGCTCTAGGTGCGAGATGTTCTCAATAATTTTTATTTTATTTTTTTATTTATTCAATGAAAATAGATGTTATTATTCCATTTTAAAGATAAGAAAACCAAGACTAGGAAACATTACATAACTGGCCAAAGGCAAAATAAGCAGCAGAGTCGGATTAGAAAACCCAGACCTGTCTGCCTTTGAGACTGACCCTTTCACCCTAACAATACATGCTGTTCTCTGGCTCCCATCAGATGTGGCCTCTGTTTTCTACAATCAAAATGGACCAATTCTTGCCACTCTCCCACTCCACTTATTTACCATAAGTATATAACCAAGATGGAACCTAGTGTTTAGTCTCCCCAAACGGTCTTACTCAAGGAGAGAACATATAATGTAATAAGCACTTTTCTATCTTCAACTGCTCTCATTTACCATTTGTCTTATTAACAGGTCACTAAGACAAAAGCCTTTCAGTTACCAAAACAACATCTGATATTTAAATAGTACTATGTAACAGTAAGTCAACACAATATTTGTAAACATAATTAAATACAATAGTATAGGTCTTTGTTTAAAAACTCATTTTTTTTACACACTTTCTAAATTATATTGGTAGTTCTCACCATTACTTAAATGATTTACTAGTAATTTGAAAACAAAAATATTAATATTACACTCTGTAATTTAAGTATTATATTCATAATATTACTTTACGTGAACTCTTACTGAGTTTAAAAATCTAGGTTAAATAGCTTTGAACACTTCTATACAATATCCCTAAAATAGTATCAAATTAAGCAATTCAGCTTTTAGATTCTGAATCCTTCTCCAATGTTCGCCATAAGCTTAAAGGAAATTATAAACAATTCTGATGGTTATTGGCACATTAAGATTTTTTTAAATACTTAAACATATCTTTAAAGTTATTTAACTATTACGTATATTTTTGTTTTCAATTTCAATTGGAGTGCTAAGATATTTGTTAAAATTTAACAGTAGTTTGAAACTGTTAATTTTTATTTCTGTTACATATATGAACTATCTCTGTATTCTTGTATTATTAGATGGCATATATTTATAACTTAAACGTTTAACTTTGAAAAGTTTGAATGTAAATGATATATTTAAAAGTATGGTCATAAAATATTTTTTCACCACTAGCAATTATTTCAAGAATTTCATGAAGTGTAGTTAATACACATATACATGCTTCAAAGGATATCACTAACAAAAACCACTCACAGAATGGGGGGTAATATTTGCAAATCATGCATCTGAGAAGGGACTTAAATCAAGAACGTATACAGAATTCTTATAACTCAACAACAAAAAGAAAAATATTCTAATTTAAAAATGGGGAAAGGACCTCCAAAGAAGATACACACATGTCTGATAAGCCAGTTAAACCCTAGTTTTAAATCCTGGCTCTACTACTTCCTGCTGGATAACTTGTCTCTACATGGCTACAAGCCTTGAGAAAATGCTCAACATCATTAGTCATCAGGGAAATGCAAATACATTCTACATCATGCAGCAATATTAAAAACATGCTAAAGGAAAGAAGTCAATCACTAAAGGTCACGTACTGTATTATTCCATTCATAAGAAATGTCTAGAATAGGCAAATCCATGGGACTTGAAAATAGATTTTCTACTTGAAAGTAGATTAGTAACTGCTAGAAGCTGGGGGAAAGAGGATTTAGGGAGTAACTGCAAATGGGTATACGGTTTCTTTTTTGAGTGATGAAAATGTTCTAAAATTGATTATGGTGATAGTTGCGTTAACTGTGAATATACTAAAAACCACTGAATTGTACACTTTAATGTCAGACAGGTTCATTGTAGGGTGTATGAAATACATGTCAATAAAGCTGTTTAAGAAAAAAAAAAGTTCTATTTTGATAAGAAAATCATATCCAGACCTATGAACTTATATATTTGCAAGCAGTAGAAACTTAATATGACAAGTATTTACCTTTACTTATTTAGGTTTTAATTAGGTTACATAAAAAGAAGCTGGGATGAGCACTAGGTATTTTATGTAAGTGATGAATCATGGGAATCTACTCCCAAAGCCAAGAGCATACCATATACACTGTATGTTAGCTAACTTGACAAGAAGTTATATTAAAAAAAAAAATATATATATATATATATATATATGTATGTATGCATGGAAGTTGGTTCTATCATGAAGATATCTACCATTACATTCTACTTTTTCCAGTGATATCTTCTATTATTTTTATTCAAATTTAGGTATGTTATATACCTTGTACTTATACTAAAAATGTTATTCAACAAAAAAATATTTTGAAGAAAGGGATATAAGAGATATTCTATATATATTATTTAATAATAATTCTCTAGGGAAAATAACTGTAAATTATGTTCTAAATAGTTTCATTTCTTTTTGTATAAGGAAAAAGAACCCAAAAAATCAAAAAGAGGAATTTGAGACACAACAGCATTCAATGTATTCTATCAAAGTATAAAATGTCATCTTACCACTAAAGTTTTTACCATTATGTCAGCCTGTAATGTATTGTTTTTCTTCTCTGATATCCCTGGTTTAATACTTAGTATAGAATACTTTTATCCAACATATTGGCAATTTGGGTTTTTTGGGAAATGTTCATTTAAGGTGGGGAGTAACATTCAAACAATTAGATCAGAGTTCATCAATTTAATATGCACACACAAAAGAATATTAAAAGGAATTACATTCTTAAGGAATCAAACCTAAAATTTCAAGTAATTTTCCAATAACTTATTTCTAGGACAGAAGTATACAAATAAATTATAAAGGAAAAAAGAATGGAGAAAAGGTCTGGTTAAAAATTTTAGGTCAAAAAATTAAAAGCTATTTAATATACAAAGAAAAGAGGCAAAAAAGAAAAAGAGAATAGAAAGGCCAGAAGAGTCACACTAACGGTATTTATAGATAATTACAACAGGTACATCAAAGGTCATCGGTAAAAAAGACTTGTGATAAATTTGTGTTTAATACTGTTTTTAAATATATTGCTCATCTCACCAAACTCAAAATACATATGTGATAGAAAATATAATATGAGTAAACTTACATTCTTCTTCCTTAGGGTCAAGCTGTGTAACACTAACAGATAAACGGTCCACACGTTCTTGCAATGAGTTAACTCTGAAGGAAAAACTATGTGCCTCATTGAACAATTCTCCAAATATATCTTCAGCATACTTACCTAGGCAAAAATGAAACATATACCATAAATTTAATGTGATGAGAGATAAATATCAAACAATTTAACATTTAAAAGTGCTATCCTAATGAATTTGACATTTATTTGGAACTAGTTTATACAACCCTAGCCTAAAAGTAAATGAATTGAGACAAAGTGATAAAACATAAACCCTGGGAAATCTGGTTTTAAACACTAGTTCTACCACATCCTGCTACGTGACTTATGCCTAAAATGCAAATACTCTACCTGCTTTATCCGTATCTACCCATCTGGTGAGGGTTAGAGAACGCTATGATGAAAAAGTACATACAAATAATATATCTTTTAAATCAGTGTTCATAAATAAACTCTACACTAGAATTGAATTTCAGGCCAACTGACAGAATCTAAGAGTCTTCATAAGCCCAGCAGAAGACCAGTCTCAGATATGCCCAAAACGTACATTCTGAAAATTTGTGAGGTATTTTATATTTTCATGTTCTATCTAGTTTCTTAAAAAAATAATCCTAAATCTAAAATCGCTGTATTTTCTCTAGTCATATAAATTTCTATTACTGAAAAGAATAAGAGAAAATACTCCTATTATAAAAGGAGAAAAAAACAGAAATTTCTATCTAGTAAGTAAGCCAGGGAGAAGTTTAGGCAATCTATAATGAAAAATATTCAGTGTATTTAGAACATATAAAGTAATGCATACTTACAATATAAAGATGAGTCAATTACTATGTACACCTTTGAATAAAAAAAATTGACAGTCTTGCTAAATTAAGACATTTTAGACCCAAGCATACTGTATAGGTTAAGTCTAGCTCCATAGTAAACTCTTTTCAGACAGTTCCTGAGACAGAGGTAATTAATATTTATTAAAAGAATTCACTAATCTCACTAGTTTATATTTGAATAATATTGCATTTATTCCAAGGTATTTCAATATAATATCTGTTAAATCAACAAGCATTTAATGAGAGCTCACCCTGTGCCTTTTTTTCAAAGTATTTAAATATAATATCTGTTAAATCAACAAACATTTAATGAGAGCTCACCTTGTGCCAGGCAGGTGTATGACCTACCGAAGGCACCAAAAAGTAAAACATAAAATTCCTGGCCTAGAAGATTCTATGGTCTTTAAGAAAAAAAATCAGAACTTCAATCTCTCTATATTAAATTAAGAACTTTAATGTTTCTATAAAAATATAAAAATGAATAGTTTTGTATATATTCATTTACTCACATATATCTTTAAACCAAATAGACTGAAAATGTCTTATGTGCCAGACCTTGTACCAGACCCTGGAGATATAAAAATGATGGAAGAAGGTCTCTGCCATTGATGAGTTTTGAACAAGAGGGAGAAACAGACATCTAAACAAATATGAAAAGCAATTTAATAAATAAGTCCAAATCTTTGTTCCATTCACTTTGAGACCTTGGTATCAATTTCCTCACACCTGTAAAATAGGGATAAAAATATCTGCTTCAAAAAGAATTTATAAGGAAAGGAGACACAGTGAACAAAGGACCTGGCAGAGTTCCACGTACAGGGTAGGAGGTCAACAATAGGCAGCTCTTACTATATACAAGGTAAGAGCCACAGAACACAAATTAGGTAAGATGCACCTAATTTTGAATGTGGGATGGTGTCTGAGATGCTTCCAGAGACAGTTTCTCTGGCAGATAAGGAAAGCATCCCAACTGTAAGAAAGGGCAGGTATAAAGCCATTCATTTTTTTCAACAAACATTAAGGATACAAAGGCTAGGAACAGAAGAGACAATTTCATCCCTAAAAGAGCTTAGTTTAATACAAGGATCCTTAATTTAAACCAATGGAAATTATACACAGATTTTTTAAAAATATATTTGCATTTTTCTAAAGAGAGAGCCCACAGTTTTTCAACAGATTTTTAAGTAAGAGTCTATGCTCCTCCCCACTACGGGTTTAAGTGCTAATGTATCAGTGGATAAAATAAACATCCCATCTGTTCTCTTTTCACATCCTTTCTTACTTTCCACATCTACCTCCTTTTCTTCGAGGTGAAAGGAATAAAATTTGCAATGTAAAACTGACTGGGCATGTATATGAATTTGAACTAAGCTTAGAAGTATTATACTACTTACCTATTTAAGAACCTACTTGGTTTCCTTACCACTTATCATCTATGATGTTAAAACTAAATCTTCTCAACTAAAATTCTATGTCTTCCAAAATCAGTGTCCACCATACATAGCATCCCACATCACCTGTCCCTTTAATCCCCCTAACATTTTTATTTTTGCCTCTATTCATTTACCTAATTCTTCATGCAAGCTAAAAATGCCTTCCTTCCTCATTCCTCTCCATTTTCCAAATTCTTTTGTTCCTTAAAGGCCCAATTCAATTCACATTTCATTCAGCAGGTCTCCTCTAATGACTTCACCTTATGCTTATCTCTCTTTTCTCAGTTCCTATAATCTAAAACTCATGATTTTAATTATATACATGATCACACCGTTCAGAATAACTTCAGTACTTATCATACTCAACTCTTCAATTCAAATGGGGTATACTCTTCAGACAAGAACCTTGTAGCTTTATCACACAGCAAAGTATTCAGTGTTATCTGTCATTGTCTGTGTTTCTAATTAGTCTTATCAAGCCAATCTATTTATCCTCCCTCCTACTTGCTATCTATCTGTCAAATTTAGGCTCTATCAACTCATCTTGGTAGCATGAACTGGCTGTATTCAACAGAAGAATGGCCTTGGGAAAAGAGAATGGTAAAAGATTCCTCAGGTAATTAGAGTCCCAATGGTCATTAAGTAAAACAATAATAAGATGGGAAAGAATTTTAGTATAACAGAAGAAATTTATAGAAAGTGAATTCTATGTCTTCAGTAATTATATATTATCTTTTATAAATTGTGTTCTACTAGGGAAAACATTTTGTGGGGAAGAAGTCAGGAGGATGTCCCCTAAGCCACGACCAAGCTCTGCAGTTTACCTTTATTGCTGCGTTCTGTTAACGCTTTTGGTTAAGTGAACACCTCAATGACCTAGAACCATTTTGGATAGCCAAGTTTACTAGGTAATTCAGAGATTATTTAATGAACTAATTACTTTAACTATTTTGGATGAATGCTGATGTAAAATCTATTCTAAGCTTCCCTGTCTTAAGTAGAAATACAAAATTAAACATAATTTAACCTTTTCTTGAGAACTTAGTGATGATTCTGAAATCAAAATGTTCTAAGCTAGAAAGCAGCCTTGAGATGTGTAAGAATATCTGCTTCTACGTGAAAGGGCCTCTTTCTGGTTTTTATATTGCTTCTCTCCTTATGTCACTTCTTCCTTTGCTGTAAAGGACTTCTTTTGGCTGGCTTAGGTAATACCTGCTTCTATTTTTATCTCCCCAATACCTCCTCTTTTAATGCTCTGAAGCATAAATGTTTGGGAACCAGATCACCAAACCTGTATGAACTAGCTAAGTAAGTGTAAACAGGCTCTGAGAGAAGGATCAATTGATTATTTTATGTGCATAATCTTTAGTGCATGGGCTTGTTTATTTTGGGTACCTAGGGGCCTTTTAAATTTAATTCTACATGCCCAAATATGTCAAGTGGGAAAGCCGCCAGAGAGGTTAATTCCAGGGCAGTAAACTATTGCTATACCTTGCTACAGTATTTTATGGTTTTTCTTGTTTTTGAATCTCTACAAACTGCTTAGAAAATGTCTACAATGGTCTCTTGATTCCAAACGTGAAGCACCGAAAACCTAATTTAGTTATATTTTTACAAAGTATTTCTATTTTTGGAGCTTGGCTACAATATGACCACATGCTTGTTGATAGATGATGTTTATAGGAACTATACCAGACTTGAATATTCCTTACATCTTCATCTTTAGGTTATATACAAAACGGGTTAGTACAGAAATGAACACTCTTAATCATTATATTAGTTCTTATTGGGAATATACCTAAAACAACACGCCTGTAGTAGATCCAAAATTCATTTTAAGAAATACTTTAAATTTGTTAATGTCATTTCTACGCTCTTAATATATATTTTAATATTAACTGATGTACTCATGTACACATAGTAATACAAATGTTATATGAAGTCATGTTACGTTAGATTCAATTAGTGATAGTTCAAAAAAAAAAAAGGTCAGCAAATGTCTTTTAAAAAGTAAGATTAACCATTATTAATATCTAGGACTCTTCTTTTGACTTGTCTCAAAAGTATATTCTATATTGACTTTCCCAAGAAAGAAACAGGTAAACCATGTTAGTGATTCACTGTTAGTAACTAACCTGAAAAAATAACCACAAAAAGGGGGAAAGAATATACTTAAATTCAAACAAACATCCTTTTATTTTTAAAACTATTTCATAGGCAATGTAGAAATTTAGTGCTCTCACCAAGAGCATTCAAATGTAATTTTTATGTTGCTCTAGTTACATATGTGTATGTCCAAATGCTCTCACTTGAAACAAAATAGATTAACAACTTCTCTTTATCTTGTTCTCAATTATAAAAAGAAAAGAACAAAAGTTAAAAGGAAGAGTCAATCTTCCCTATAAGTATAATCTACATGGGTAGGTATGGCTAAGACATATCTAGGACCACTTAGAGAATACATCCAGGCCAAGAACATCTTGTTTTATCTTTAAAATGAAATATTAAAAAATGAAATATAAATGTCTTAATAAAAAGCTAAGCCATCAATTCACAAGACAGATTTTAAATTTTCTAACATTAAATTTAGAATAATAGGAAATAATTTGTTTAATTCCTTAATTTAGTAGCTCTGTTCTACAATCTTGTGATAGAAACACATTGCCTGTCTCATCCTCCTCTTCCTGTCCCTTCTGTTGGCCTTTACTATCTGGCCAATCTGCTCACCTTTTGTCTGTCAGAAGCCAGGTTCACTTACTATTTTCACATCATGCTGCATGTAAGACCCTTGACTGATATCTTAATGTCCTTTAGACAACTCACTTGACTAACCTAATCCTCTAACTAGTAACTACCCCATACCTTTTACTTTTAGATATTTGAGAATATATAAATACTTCCCTAGACTACATATAAAGAAAGAGATACTAGTGTCCTAAAACACAAATTGAAGCCACTAAAAAAGTAATAGTGATAACGAGCAAGCAAAAGTAAAACCCTGGCCTAACCTTTCATAGATCAAATCATACTTTAAAAACAATTTCAGTAATTCTTATCCATCATGTGATGCCATTCCTAAAATTCTGTCCTTACTTCTCTTTCCCAGAGGAAACATGCAGAGAATAAATTATTCTAAGATTCATTATTTTATTTAAAATGACTACATTTTCCAAGATAATTTTATACTCTTCTCATCAAATATCTCCCCAAATTAATCACAAGGACATCTTCTTAATACTCTAAAGCTTAAAATTCTGGTTTGCAAAAAATATTTTTCACTGATATAGAAATACTTACTTAGGCTACTTAGTTGTCTAATTATATTTGCCAAGGAAATATTGGTTACACATTCTAGTTCATTCTTAATGCCTCTAGGCAGTGCTGTGTGGCACAAGTGCCTAGGATCAATGTTTCTTTTCACTAATGGCATCTTGAGATCAACCTCTGTGCCAGTTCACCTGTAGGAAATCAAACAATAAATTAACATTATTCAATTGCACCCAATACAGAGTAAGACCTCCCCTTTCACGTTTAATAATAAAATATTTGCTAGTATGAAAACAATGAAAATGGAGTTACTGACTAAATGAATCAAAACTTATTTATTATTTTTAATTATTAGAATGTCAACATTATATAAAAATTGAAAAAAACTTTCAAAGTCAGTTGCTTCATAACGAATTCATAATCACCGTTACTATTATTCTCCAGTTTAAAACCACTGTTTTTACTACAACTAGGGGTTTTGTTTTAGAGAAACAGCATGAAAGATCTTCTCTAAGGAAGTGCCTAAGAGGATTAAGGAAGCTGGAAGAATAGTATCAAATTTACACTTCCACGTAAAATGTTATCAGGGGTTCAATGGCTCAGAGATCAAACAGTCCAACTAGTCCTACATCTTCAATTTCATCAACACTGACCAGATCTTTAATTGTTCAAATAGTTCAGCCTTCTTCTAATTATAGGCAGCCCTTACTTCCCAGGCCTCCCATCTGCACAAATTTCAGCTATCATAAGTTTAGTTCAATAATACCAGTCTCCAACAACACGGTTCCAATTTCACTTTCCACACTATATTAACTACAACCGCATAAATACAAACTACTTTGCTAGCACTTCAGTCTACAAAGCACTATGTTCATAAGAGAGGTATATCATGATCAGTGACTCATCACTTCTTTCCAAAGTTGGTTGGTGCCTAATCATTCGATTCGCCTGCCTAAAGACAGAAAAACATGTAGCTGGGTTACCTTCTTGCCTCCTAAACCCATATGAAATTTTACAAAATGGGTAACTAAAAGAGTGAATTAGCCAACAAAGATAAAAGTGCAACAAAGAAATGAAAAATGATAAAGATGAAAGTGAAACTGGACTCAAATGTAAATGGAATAATAGAAGAAATAGCTAATTGTGGGAACGTTGCCATTATTACTGTTTGAGAGACTCCAGATATGCAGTCAGAAGAATTTAGTGAAGGCAAACTTATTGACATAAATGAGGAAAGTGGCTGTGACAATAATGAAGATATCCCTGGGGAAGTGATGCCAGCAAAAAATTTCACATTAAAGAAACTCTTGGAGGTATTTCCCGATATTGAAAATGCAAAAGTAAAATGCTGGAAGCTGATCCAGATGGACAATTTGCCAAGGCACAGAAAAGATGCTCACTCTGCTAGATCTGCTATTCTAACTTATTATACAAGGAGATGGCAAAGCACTGTTCAAGCTACTCTTGGTAAGTTTTTTACAAAGAATAAAACAATTCTAATTGTTTTTAGTATATTACATTGTAATAAACTAGTATTAGTTTTACTATTTTTTTCATTTCTCTCTGTTTATAACCAACACAGGACAGTTTTTAATGTCTTGACAAAATTTTTAAAGATCATGGAACAACTGTAAATTTTCCCATTGATTGTTAATGTCACTATGTGTGGTTTTAGTTTGTATGATCATTCTTTTGGTCCCACACTACCATACAAGTGAGGGCTACATGTACTTACCACTGATAAATAACGGTTATGAAGACAGTTGTTTTAAAATATTATCCTCATCTCAAAAAAGGGTGGATGGCTTTTGTTGTGATTAAAATAGTGCTTTTAGGTAACATTCAAAAGCGTTTTGGAGAGAAAAACTCTCTTCCTCATCCTTCTACTTCAGTTCCAATATTAGATTCTTTTTCTTATTTCTTGGTGATTCTAATGGTCACTTATGTAACTCACCTATAAAAATCTTGGTGGCAAAAAGTAAAATAAAGTCTAACAATTTCATCTCTTAAATACTGAGCAAACTGCCTACTTGATGTTTTAGAGAGTTCCCAACACTATCTTTAATGTAGGAATCCTTTATCATACTGGGAAAGGGTGAAAAAGTCCTAAATGCTAAAAGGTATAATTTAATTAGCAAGCAAAATTAAAATTGAATTCATTTCAGCATTTTTAAATATTGCAAATGATACATTTTCTGTTTAAAAACATTAAAAATAACTGGGACATCTGGTGGCTCAGTTGGTTAAGCATCTGACTTCTGCTCAGGTCATGATCTCACTCGTAAGTTTGAGCCCCATATTGGGCTGTCTGCTGTCAGTGTAGAGCCCGCTTTGGGTCCTCTGTCCCCCCTCTCTCTGCCCCTCCCCCCTGCTCCTGCTTTCTCTCAAAAATAAATATTAAAAACAATTAAAAAATACTACACAGAATGAACCAATTACATATACTTTAACATCTTTTAATCCACCGTTGACTAACTTGCCTATTTAAGGGTGGAAAACATTTATTTAATAAAGAAGCTAAAGTATATTGTGCTAAGACATGAAATAACTAATTCTAATAATTGTTAATCTGTTTTCTTAGCTCACAACTAAAAATACTATCATAGCAAACAAAAATTTTCCAACTATTATATAACCCATGTGGTTATAAAAGTAATTGTTTGCCAGCAATGTAAAAAACTAAAATAATTCCTAGGTTTCTTCACCATTTTCTTGGGTTCTTAGCTTAAAATTAAACTTCCAGTTACTGAAGCAAACATCAAGAGACTGAGAGCATGCAAACTAAAGTCTATATCCCTTAGAGATTTTTAAATTATTCTTTAATATAATCCAGCTAAAATTTCAATAAATTTGTTTCTTAATTTAAATAATATTTTTATGGGCTTAACTTTAAATCCTGGTGTAAATGTTAAAATTAAAAATAAAATTAGCTACAAGACATCATATTTATTAAACTAGCATATTAGAAACCCTCTTTCAGAGGAGTAAAGAAAATGAAACATATTAAAATTTAACAGCAAAATTTTGGCAGAATTCTAATTAAAATTATATTTTGGCAACTATTATAATATCAATATGTTCTCTAAGTTATTTCAAGAATGTCTTCTGTTGACTCGGATCAAGACTATATCTATATCTATCTAAAAGTATAAAGTGGGACGCCTCAGTGGCTCAGTTGGTTGAGCTCTCGACTCTTGATTTGGACTCAGGTCATCATCCCAGGGTTGTGGGCTTGAGCGCCATATTGGGCTACATGCTGAGCATGGAGCTTGCTTAAGATTCTCTCTCTCTCTCTCTCTCTCTCTCTTCCTCTGCCCCTCTCTTTCCCACTCCCACTCTCTCTCTCCAATCAGTCAAGCAAGCAATACATAAAGTGTTAAAAATAACCCAAGATCAGACATAATAGTGATTTTATGGTTCTGGAAATCAGAAAAATACGTTATCTAAATTCTCCTTTTCAGAACTCAAAAATGGTCTGTAAATTTTATTTAAAATGTTTAAAGTATTCCTTTATTTAACAATTTCAGGAAACATAAAATAGTTGCTTTTAAAAAACTGCCATAAGATAACTGTAGTTACTAATTGCCTCATGGGTTATATAAAGAACATAAGAATGACGAGTATTCTATTATGCCATTGATGACAAATGATTAATTCCTTACACTCACACATTGATGAAACAACTAACCTATAATCATTTAAGGGTATTTCTGTATTTATAAAATGGCATTAATATTAAATAAGGAAAATTTTATGTTAAATTATAGAAATACAATTTTCAATTTTTATAAGAACACTTTTCAAACTAAAGGATTATATTATGTGACCTAAGAGAACAGGTTAGAATAAAACAACTATTCTAATAAAAACAAATTTCAGTATTTTAAATACAAATTTCAGAAATTTAAGGGAGCAAATGATTAAAAAAGTATTTTTTAATGTTTATTTATTTTTGAGAGAGACAGAGCACGAGCTGGGGAGGGGCAGAGAGAGAGGCAGACACAGAATCTGAAGCAGGCTCCAGACTCTGAGCTGTCAGGACAGAGCCTGATGCGGGGCTTGAACCCACAAAGTGTAAGATCATTACCTGAGCCGAAGTCAGACACTTAACCCACTAAGCCACGCAGGTGCCCAGGGAGCAAATGACTTTTAACAAATGTCCTACCTCCCTAACATTAGAAACTACTTAATTGTGTGTAACAGAACAATTAAATAATTTGAGCACAAGTATGTTTAAATAGAGATATGTTTTCATGGAAATAGTTTTTCCAATAAAGTTCTATGCAAATGACAAAATACTTTATAATTCTTACAGACACAACGGATTAAAATATAAAACATTTTTGAAATATGAATGCATAAAATAGTTCCACATTAACAAATTTATCAAATCTAATTAAAAATACTTGTTCCAAGTATGTAAAACCATGGGTCTTTAAATAAAGTGATTTAAAATATATAAAAAAGGATGTTTAAAAGTATATCAAAAACAGAATTTTTATAACTTACCTTTTCTCCCAATCTACAATGTATATATCCCAAACTGTTTATTATAAATACACTGAAATAGAAAGTAACTGAACTTACCCGTGAAACAATAGGATCATATAAAAATAACACATCTCCCTTTTGTTATGAGGTAAACTTGAAGATTACTAACCATAAATTTCAAAAATTCTATACTAACCATAAATTTCAAAAATTCTATATACAAAGACATGACAAAGCCAAATTGGGCATTCACAGGATTACTCATGCTGAAGATCTCTAGTTATCTGATTGCTTTGAAATGTTCTGGCCCTAGTTAAAGAATTTGTCCTAAAAACAGTGCTATCTTTACCAAAAATAAATAAATTGGTAGATAATTATATATTTCATCTTAAGTTACAATAACAAAGTATTAAATTTTGATAGGCTAAGGTTGAAAAGAAATGAAGAAATGAGCTACATACTCTGCAATTCATTATGGACATTACTGTTAGGCCCAAGAAGAAAACTGGAGGCTAATGAAATAATAAATAGTATTACACACCTATAGAGCAGAAATGAGATTCAGGATAGTTAACTAAGTAATAAGATTCACTAGATAGTAGTAATTATGTGATTCCATGTCATTTTCAATGAAAAAAATATATTTAAATTAATACAACCACCACAGACACT